ACAAGAGAGAGAGAGAGATACACATATATATATATGTATATATATATATATTATATATATATATAATAGAGAGAGATCGATATATATATATATATATATATAGATATATTATACACAGAGAGAGGGAGAGAGAGACAGAGAGAGATGAAGAGAGAGAGAGAGAGAGAGGGATACATATAAAGAAAGAGAGAGAAAGGGAGGGAGAGAGAGAGAGAGAGAGAACACAGAGAGAGAGAGAGAGAGGGAAACCACAGAGGGAGAGAGAGACATACCAGAGAGAGAACACATATTTATATATATATAACGAGAGAGAGAGAGATAGAGAGAGAGAGAGAGAGAGAGAGAGAGAGAGAGAGAGAAAGAGAGAGAGAGAGGGAACGAGAGAGAGAGAGAGAGAGAGAGAGAAAAGAGAGAGAGAGGAGAGAGAGAGAGAGAGAGAGAGAGAGAGAGAGAGAGAGAGAGAGAACGAGAGAAACATATACATATACGGATGCATGAGATGGGGGGAAGGGGAATGGAAGGAATTGGGCCATTTTGCTTTCGTTATCGGTGCTGCTTGTTTTTCTTCTTTTGAGTTGCCCTCGCGCGCCGTGCATCGACGCGCCGCGCCCGAATCTCTTAAACCAGCCTGGCAAGTTGCGCGGGGCGGCGGGGGCGGCCGCGGGCGGAGCGGTGGGGGGCGGGGTTGGCGGGGGGTAGATTGCGAAAACAGACGACCCGAGAACGGCCGCCGCTGGGAGGAGGCAGTCAATTGGCTCGGGGCGCGGGCGGAACTGCACGCGAAATTGCCGGGGATGTGAATCGTGCGCGAATCGGCGCGATCGCTCGGGGCCGCCGCCTCCATTTGGATTGGCGATGTTGGCGCGAGCAATGGTTTTCAAATTCGCCGCCAACTTTTCGCAACTATTGCGCCGATCCCCCCCGACTATTTTTCGAATGTTTCCAGCTGCAGTCGGACTTCGTTGGACAGGGCGCGCGAGGAGACAAACATGCCCCTCCGAGGGCCACGTTGCCATAGGAATGCAGGGGGCATGTGGGGCCTTCTGGGCGCCCGTTGGGGCCTCGTGGGGCGACCTCCATTGCCCGGTCGGCCGTCGAAGGCTCGGGGCGAAGGGGGGGGGGGGGGGGCGGGGGGCGACTCTGGCAGAAAGACGAGGCGAACATCTGAGCGGGGGGGGGCGCGTAAAGCAAGGGAGACACGCGCGCAATGAAGATGCGAGATGCTCTGGTCAAGGGCCGATGGGGCGAGCCTACTGAACGAGCGCGTCCCTGTAATGGTCAATAGTCCTTGTTCCTTGGCCCGCAGCGCAATTGGCAATGCCGTTGTAGTCGGTGTCGTTCTTCTGCGATTTTGCGTCGCGGCGAGTCGCCACCCGCGGAGAAACGCTGCGCAGGTAAAAGCAAGAGATGAAGATCGCGGCGCTGCGACGGAGGGTCACGCGATTACCGCGAACGCGCGCAACAAAAACGCCGCATTATTCAACGTGTGTTACAATGGCGGAACAACTCGGATGCGTAGTGGGTGGTGGCGCGTGGGGCACGCGCGCGCAGGTATAATGTTTTATCGCCGCCAACACATATTGAGCTCGCCAACTACCTGGTCGAGGCGCCCCCAGAGTCTTCGACATCGCCAAACTTTGGTCGGCCAAAACTGGCGCTGGGGTTGCGCCTGGGGGACGAGAGTTCACGCTGCAGCCCGCTTCGGGCTGGGCGCCCAGAGCTGTTGCGAGGGGGCCTGTTTTGACATCGGCTGCTCTTGGGGGCGCAGGCGTTTTGGCGGGGGTAGCGGCGTGCAATTCGACGACGCGCACTAATGCATGTGGTCTACGACGTTGGGGCGTGGCGGCGGTGGGGCAAACTGGCTTATATTGGGCGGCGTTGAGCATGCATGCGGGTGCGATCACGTGTTGCATCACTAGTTACTAGTTATCGCTGCCCCGTGTTTCCCATCGTCCAGTGCTGAAGCGTAATACTGAATTGCACAATCGTATTTATTTAATACGTAAATGTTGAATGGCGCATTGCGCGCGGCGATGCGTCCGATGCTGAAGGACGCGCGAGAAGCGATTACCCAGCATTCGTGCTACCTACTGCTATGCCCAGGGCTGACAGTAATGCAGGACGAACATTTGCCCAGTTGTAGAATCCAGACCGAAACTGAAGGCAGCGCCACAACACAACTGTCCAACTTTTGCGTCCAGCCAGCCGTCCTCGCCCCCGTCATCCCATCCCCCCACCCATGTGTCCTCAACAAATTCAAGTTTCAATAAACTGTGAGTGCAGTGCCCGAAGTCCCTAAACAATTGCCCAGACAGGCTCTGATGCAGGCATACGGATCCTACTCGAACATCGCGCGTTCAAAATATCTTCGCCGAAACGCACCACCATGCGAAAATGCGTGGGGTGATCTTCAACGAAAACCAACAGGAAACACGGGTCAACGATTTAATCAACTCTTCAAAACATCGTCTAGTATTTATTCAAGCATCGCAGACATCATCCACTTGGTATTCACTTTCCCGAAGCAGTTCAATCGTTTCATCAACTTTCTTGCCAACAAAGAATCATCGTTTTCTCAACGTTTTAACTCGCAAGCCGAAGGCCCGGCCCAGCCCTGGTGTCTTCACCTGGGCTCTGGGAACTCCTTGGTTCGACGGCCTGCTGTAGCCGCCCTTCGTTCACACGCCCACTAGAATCCCATCAGAACTGGGCCCTGGATCTGTCCGGGGCTCCAACCCAACAGCTTTTGTGAGCTGCGTCTGGCCGTGGCGACGAGAACCCTGATAACCGCGCGACAACTTGGAACACCATGTGGGACCTGCTCTAGAAGAGGGACATACCGTAGACGGTTCTACCCTTTCTCCGACCGAGCGCAAACGCTGCCTTGTCTATAGACGTATCCACCCCGAATGCGTCTTAAAACGTCACGACCCCCAATATATATATATATATATATATATATATATACATATATATATATATATATATATAGACGCTTGTGGCTCGAAAGAAAGAACGGTATTTGACATATGCCCCACATATAGGTCTTCTAGAAGAAGGTAGACTTGGCCCTCCAAGCGAAAACCTCTGGGTTCTCAGTGGGCGATTGGGGGTTGATGCGTCCCCCCCTGAACCTATCCCGCCTCAGCGTTGCCACTGAATGGCTACCCTCGCACCGCCGCCCGGGAGAATGACAACTCCCCGGCCCAGGCCGCGGCGCAAGGGCTGTCTCTGCGCCCCCCTCGGTGTCTCCACACATGCCCTGGAGGGCCCGTGAAACCCAAACCACCCTAAGCCAAATCCGACGTTGCACACCGACAGCGAGCCCAGGGGGAAATCAAACGGGGCGGCCGTTCTCAGAAGGCTCGGAGGGCCTCCAGCCTTCAGAGAACTTTTCCAATTGTCATCGTCCGCGCACTCCCTGCTCTGCTTCTTCCTTCCCGCCCACTGCTGGGGAAAAGGAGAAGAAAGGATGAAGGGGACGGCAGCGGAGGAGGAGGAGGAGGAGGAGGAGGAGGAGGAGGAGGAGGAGGAGGAGGAGGAGGAGGAGGAGGAGGAGGACGACGACGGCGGCGGTCGCACTACCGACTCTCAAGCAGCGTTTTCCCTACGCCGCGCAGACACCGTCTGGGGTCCACGCTTGCACTTACGTGGGCCCTGTTTGGGGTTCCGTCTGTCGCCCTCTTTTTCCTCTCAGGGTTCTCGTTGGGACAGTCACCTTCGCGATCTGCCCATTCCAAGTCTGCCCCGGCGACACAACAAACTTCTCAGAGGCCTTCTGAGAAGCCCCGCCGCCTTCTGAGAGGGCCTACCCCCTCTCACTTCCCCCCTGGGCACTCCGCCGACAAACCACCCCCTCAGATCCGCTGTTGCAGAATTATCTGCTGCAGCAATCGCGCCAAATCACGACTGGAACCCCAGACCCCATCTTCCTGTGCTAGTCTTCGACGCGGATCGACCTGTGAGGGTCCTGGGGCCCCAAGCCAGGCGGGAAGGCCTGGTGCAACAAAACTGGCAACGCCTGGATCTCAGAGCACACCACCAGCGGAGGGACCACGCCACCAGCAGCCAGACCCGCCAGCGGAGGGACCACGCCACCAGCAGCCAGACCCACCAGCGGTGGAACTGCACCACCAGCAACCAGACCACGGGCAAACAGCAACGCATCTCGGCACGGGGCCGGAAACTGCCCCGCTCCAGAGCGTTCCCGTGAGTCGGAGGTTTGGGACTCGTTCCAGGGCGTTCCCTGCGCCTCACGCCAACGCCAACGCCGACGCCGAAGCCGACGACCCAAGAGGAACGCACTGGGAGAGCTACGGCCGAGACCGGCACGGACAGTGGGGACGAGCCTTCTCCCCTGACAGTTGTTTGCGCCCGATGCTCTTCGCTTCCTGCCTTTGCTCGTGAGCCAACTGGGCAGGCGTGCTCGCTGCAGGGAGCCGCCGCGTCCCCCCCCCGAGGCGGCCGCGTCTCCCTTGACCGCTGCAACCCCAAGGCGCCCACGAGCAACCGGGGACGAGGGCGGGACGAGGGCGTGGACGGAGGAGGGACAGAGGAGAAACGGGCGCGTGGAGGGGAAGAGGGAAGAGGAAGGAGGAGGGAGGAGGAGGAGGAGGAGGAGGAGGAGGAGGAGGAGGAGGAGGAGGAGGAGGAGGAGGAGGAGGAGGAGGAGGAGGAGGAGGAGGAGGAGGAGGAGGAGGAGGAGGAGGAGGAGGAGGAGGAGGAAGGGAGGAGGAGGAGGAGGAGGAGGAGGAGGAGGAGGAGGAGGAGGAGGAGGGAGGAGGAGGAGGAGGAGGAGGAGGAGGAGGAGGAAGAGGAGGATGAGGAAGGGAGGATGTGCCAAACGCCCCGACCACCTAACGACGACGACGGCCGCCGTCGGCCGTGGACGGCCCCGCCGAAGGCCCACCGAAGGCCGCAGAAGGCCCCCCGAGGGCCGCCGAGGGCTGCCGACGGCTCCCAAATCCGCCGACGGCCCCGCCGAGGGGGCGTGCACGCGCCTGCTCGCGCGGCCGCCGTCGGCGGGGAGGCCAAGCACCGCCTGCCGCTGCTCCTCCATGGCCTGCTCAGGCGGGGCTGCCCGCATCCTCCCCCTCGCTCTCGCTCTCTCCCTCCCCCCCTCTCTTTTTATCTCTCTGTCTCTGTCCCTGTCTTTTTCTTTGTTTTTGTAATCTCTCTCTCTCTCTCCTTTCTTTCTGTCTTTCTTTATCGTTCTCTCTGTTTCTCTTTACTTATGTATTTCAATATCTTTCTTTCTATATGTTTTTTATATGTATATACATGTACACGTGTACACGTATACATATATACATAGATGTACATATTTGTATCTATATGTATATATATATACAGATACCAGTCACCGCCACCCATGGCACGTTGGGGCGTGCTAGACTGCCAAATGCTGTCTGGTCGGGTTTTTGTAATTTTGCGCCCCTCTCCCCCCGCAACCCCGCGCGCAGGCGCATGCACCGCGCCCTCCCCCGATGCCTCGATTCATCGCAACATAATTTTAGATCGCGCTCCCGAAATTCCTCCCAAACGGCCCACTATGGCTGCAAGATGGGCCACTTTCGCTTCAAGGCTGCCCAAGATGGCTTAAATGCGGCCCACGGAGCCTTCGAAACGCCCCAAAATAACCGAACCTTCCCAGCCGAAAGTGATCTGGTAAACCGTACCATATACTACGCCTTGAACGTACCATAGTACCCCATGACTTTCCATGCAGTAGGTCTGAGCGGGTCGACGAGCAATAAAACATGGGAAAAGAAGGTACGTCGTCGAAGGAAACGGAGGTCTCTTGTTTCCGTTACCCGGATGCTGTAGTGCCCCGCGTATGGAGCAGTCATATAGAGCGACGTCGCTTGAGCCCAAGCGGCGGCGGGATGCACGCGAGTCGCTTGTATCTCGCCTTTGATCTCCGTTCAAAATCAGGAGGGAAGGAATCGAGCGACGGGCCGCGTCAAGCTACATTATATTTGACATGTAGTAGCAGCGCTGGGGAGCAAGCTGCCAACATATACATACTTACTGCTGCAGAAGAGCCGGCCGTGGAAAGCGTCGCACTCGGCTGGCGCAACAGAATGCGCGGAGGGAGCACGCCCAGCGCTCCAACCGAGCAGTGGGTCCACCAGAATCATATCATAGGTGGATGCCCGAAGAGATTTTAGGACACCAGAATTCACAATGCGGAAAAGCTGAAGCCCGCGACTGGGCGACGGCAAGCGGGTAGGCCGTGACCGGGTGGACGCGATCGTGTGCCCATGTCTGCGCTCATGCCTTGACCGCTGGCCCGATGCGATCAAAACTCAGAAGCCGTTGTCCGCTCTCCTGTGTAGGGAAGCTACGAATGATACTTCATACTCGAAACGTTTCATAAGTGCCATCTCTTGTAAGAACAGTTCACGGCCGATACAGCCTTTAAAGTCCGTTGGCCATCATGTCATGCGTATCGCACCACAGCACACTATAGACGATACCCCTCTCCATCATCTGCCGAATCTAACTGATGTGACCCACTAAGGTACACTGATTTGAAGACCGACTCGACACCGATGACGAATGCCACCTTAGTGCTTAGACCACCTAACTGGAACATGTTCTTGAGTTGTCGGGGTAAGTGGTCCAGCCTTAAGCTTGCGTAGCATTCCGATGGTAGGGTGACAATCTTCCACGTTGCGGGTTGCAGCTAGGGTTTCGGCGGAGTAGTTGGATCTTACCTGTAGTCGATGTGATTTACAATCTGCATCTACCAGATGCAGTCCACGCGGTAGTAGGTTGGCACCTCGGATGCCAAAACCCTTAACTTGGCCGTCGGCCTCGACACCAAGGCGGCGATAGCCCAAGTCGCTATGTAGGTCCACTTGTCCTGTCGGAGCCATCATTTGGAATACAAGTTTCTTTGGATCCTGTTCTGGTGTGCGTGCTCTGGCGTTGAGTCGGCGTACTCATATGTTGGTCGGTTCCTCGACACGTTGTAGAGAGATCGCGTACACGCTTAACCATTCTTGGGTGAACGAGGCGTATGCTAGCGCCCCGCGTAAGCGGATTAACATATCTGACACAGTTTTCGGCGCCTCTTATTCTGTTTCGATTCCAGTTCGTTCTGGGTGTTGAATCGGATGAATTGGTTTGGTGCCTTCATCTTGGTCGAGCTGCACGTGGCCGTCCTGTGTCATAGTGTAGCGTGCGGCGCAGTTCGTGTAGCTGTTCTCGTTGAGCTTACGCGCGCCGCGCGTGCATTCCACGCACCACGCACTTGACATATGTGTCAATCGTGTCTTCGACTCCTGCCATGTTGATGTCGCCAAAGTGTTTTGGCTGTGCGAAGATGTGGGGCCGCCTCGAAAACCTCGTCGTCTGACGTCGGTTTTGACCCGAAGCCTCTCGTGATGGTGCCTGTTCCCGGTGTCAGGTGCTGTAAACAGTGGGGGGGCTTCGTCGGAAGACGCAAAGCCAGGAAACGTTCGTAGCACCGCGGCCGAAACACGGGGCTGTGTGAAACATACCATGCATTTCTTCTCCCCGGTGGCCTCAGCCAGCTCAAGATATGCCAGGCTTCGCAACAAAAACTTGTCACTTCCCACAAGCGCAAATATCCAGGACTTCTTGCACGCGTCCGCGCTTGCGAGCAGGCGTTGACTAACCCGCCGAACTGTTCCTGAAAAGGTCTCGACGTCGAAGGCCTCGACGTTCATGAAGCCGCGAAGAACCAAACGTTTTCTGATGGTGCGCTCCATTTCGCTCACAAGCTTCACCTTATACGCGTATCGTGATATCAGGCTGTTCGACGCGTTTCTGATTTCTTGCATCTTAGAACAGTCATTGCCGAACCATACCTTCAATTCAGTGTACATGGCTTTGGAGATCTTAACAATATTTGCTTTTATTTCTGCCTTTCTAGATCGGTCGTTTTCACTGAGGACCGCAATTCTTGTGGACGCAACTAACCTGTGCACGCGCATTGTCATTGTCTAGCCGTCGGTACGTAAATTACGGTGTTGTTCCGCCAAGACAACTTCAGTCATATAGGTAATAAGCAGAACTCAACGTATTCATCGCGTTCATCTGGATCCAGGCCATAGGACTCGTCGTGTTCTGTCGTGGATATGGGGACGAAATGCGTCTCTTCCACGTCGTCCTAGCGATGCTCGTGTTTCTGCACGTTTCCTCGCTCGTCACTGGTCGTCGATACAAGCGCACAACGTTCCGCAATCATCTTGGTAGGTACCGTGTATAGGGATTATACTGGAGTTTCTTCCAAGATACCCCTAATCTCCCGAAATTCAGTATACCGTGCTTCACGGATGTATGCTCCGAGATCCGGTTCTGGTTCTGGTTCTGCCGCTCGTACTCCTGCTCCTGACCCCCTCCTGCAAATCTCTCTCGTGCTTCATCCTTCTCTCTCCCCCTTGACCCTTCCCTCCTCCCTCCCTTCCCTGTTTTAGTGGCTGCGCCAAGTACACGTGGAAGGTAAGGAAGGTATACACACACACAAAGGGGGTTACGATCGAAGACGGAGAGGGCGGGTATCGAGGATTTGGGATGTACATGTTGAGTGTCGCACGAGCATCTGTCAGAGAACAATCTAAAAATGCTTGTTGCTGCTCTTCTTATTGTGCCATGCTTGTTTCCCCTCCCTCTGTCCCTCTCTGTCTGTCTCCCTCCCTCCCTTTCTCAATCCAGGAGAGGCGATGGAGGCGTGGTGAGAGAGGGATGTAGGGGGGGAGTCAGGGGCGGAGGAGGGAAGAGGAGGGCTGAGGGACGGATGAGTGGGGGGGTAGGCCAGGCCCAGGCGGTGCCTCAGGCGGAACCCAGGGCCATCGCCCCAGTTCCCGGGTGTCCCCCTGTGTGATAGGGGGTGGGGACCCGCTCGGGTTCCCCCGTGCCGAGGGGGGAGGGTGGGAGGGCAGGAGAACTAGGAGGGAGGGGAGGAGGGAGGGAGGGAGGGAGGGAGGGAGGGAGGGAGGGGAGGGAGGGGAGTCCTGGCACACGCGGAGGCACACGCGAGTGCCTCGCGCCTTCAGCAGCGTACTGGAGGACGCGCTCGGCGCGCCGCCGCAAGTTGAGCAGGTGTTACCCGAATGGGCGCAGGACGGGCGAGAGGCAAGGTTGGACCTCAGTTTCGCCTTGCCCGGGGGCCACATGAGACACGCCGACGTGACGGTCGGCCACCCGCAAGGCCGCGGCTCCAACGCTCACGCGGCTGCAGACCGGCATGGCGGGATGGCGGCCGCGCTCGAGCGCGAGAAGCGCCGTCGCTATCAGCACCCTGAGCTGGTGCCGCTGGCGCTCGAGAGCGGCGGGAGGATGGGGCCAGCCAGCGTGGCACTCCTGCGCGCGCTCCACAGCGGTCTCCCGCCAGACCAGCGTGCCGTGGCGATGCGTCGCGCCTACAAGCGCGTCGCAATGGCACAGGCGCAAATGGTGCTTAGCGCTGGGGCTGCTTGGTGAGAAGGTGGGGGCTGGCCGGTGCTTGCGGGGCGTGGCGCCACTGTTGGCGGCTCGGGCCTTGGGGGGCGGCGCCGCCCTGGGGGCGCGGCAACGGCGCTGAGGGCCGCCATCCGTGAGCGGCACCGGGCTCGGCGGCCTCCACGGCGCCCGAGCGGCGCGCCTGGCGGCCCTGGCCACGCGGAGGCCTGCGATCACAAAACTACGGGTTGTCATCGTGAGGCCGTGGGGACCCTCTGGGCGCCTTGGGACGCCCCTGGTGCCCTCCACTGGCGGCGCCTGCGGCCTCGGAGGCAGCGTGGCGCACGACCGGGACGCCCACGATGGGCACAAAGCGATCCACGGCCTCCCGTGTACGCCGCTCTACAGGCCTCGGCTGGCGCACCCCCACTTCCCTGGGGTCGGGCACCGCTGAGCGGTGAACCGTTCCTGGGTCAGGGGAGTTGCGCCGACTCCCGATCAAAGTGCTCCGGAGGACGTGTCCGCAGCGGGAGGGAGGGAGGGAGGCAGGGGAGGGGAAGGAGGAGAGGAGGGAGGCAAGGAGGGAGGAGGAGGAGGAGGAGGAGGCGGAGGAGGAGGAGGAGGAGGCCGAGGAGGAGGAAGAGGAGGAAG